TTATTCTTGCTTCCGTCCAGTAGATAGTTTGACTCATGCACTATACGCCCACCACAACCTCTGCAATCGTAGTGTTTATGATCCGAGCCTCGGTCAATACCAGAGCTTGAATGTGACATATTTGATGGATACTCTGTAGATTTGTTTGTAACTTTACTATGTGAATGACTGTTCTGCTTTTATTTGCTAAGGCATTCAAGTTGCGCTAGACAAGTCACTGGCAAAACTATGAGGCACGACTAAACATCCATCGCAAAGTCCAGCTTAGACAGCAGGTAACCACACTGCTTGTGTTTGGCAATATATTATCTTGGACATATAAGTCACTGGCAAAACTATGAAGCACGACCAATTGATATCAGTATTCCGTTGATTTTGTAACTTATGATTATTGATTTGTTGTCAATGTAAGCATCCATCACAAATTCCAGCTTAGACAGTAGGTAACCATACCGCTTGAAGCACGACCAATTGATATCAGTATTCCGTTGATTTTGTAACTCATGATTACTGATTCGTTGTCAATGTAAGCATCCATCACAAAGTCCAGCTTAGACAGTAGGTACCCATACTGCTTGAAGCACGACCAATTGATATCAGTATTCCGTTGATTTTGTAACTCATGATTACTGATTCGTTGTCAGTGTAAGCATCCATCACAAAGTCCAACTTAGACAGTAGGTAACCATACTGCTTGAAGCACGACCAATTGATATCAGTATTCCGTTGATTTTGCAACTCATGATTACTGATTCGTTGTCAATGTAAACATCCATCACAAAGTTCAGCTTAGACAGTAGGTAACCATACTGCTCGTGTTTGGCAATACATTATCTTAGACATATCACAACTATGACTGACAATCATTTGGTATCATCATTACATGTATTTTGTAGTGCATGATTGCTGCTTGGTTGGCATTGCCAACGGCCATCATGAAGTTCATTTGAGGCAAAGGATGACCACTATTCTGGAGAGCAGCTGGACTTCCTGCAACAGTTTATCTATCATATGTCACAATTGCGAGAGATGTATATCTTCGTCAGGATTATTTTTCTCTTGCAAATTCTTATCCTTCGATGCCATCATGCTGTGATTATTTTTTGCTTTATCTTTAGGTATAACTCAGTAAACATGTGATCTGAATTTGCCATTTATATCTATAAAAACCTTCTTCTCGCCGGTTTCCTGATGGCCAGTTCGGACTTGGTGAGGAAGTTTTGGGACATCGCTGTGCGACATTAAACATAGGTGTGTGATATCGAGGCGAGTGTTTGGCTCAAGCTCACGCAGGCTCCTAGATTTTATATTCTTCGACGTACTAAATGAGTACAATTCTGCAAATAGAGTCTCAACCGAATGAACTAGTATGATGTGAATACCTACAATTTGGACAAGATACCGTGTGTGGAAACTGCAATGGCCCACAAGTTGAGTTGGCCGAAATAACTTGGGGCGCTCCTGTACTGATGGTATGAGCATCCGAGTCTGTGGCTCACCAATCCTTTGATGTGTCGCTGTCGGAAGGTGGACTCGTCATGCGCGAGCTTCACCATGTGAGATAAACACTCCCTGACTATAAAATTAGTAGAACAGCGCATCCTCGGGCCCGAGTCAGCGAGTCCCTTGTGCAAATCATCCACGAGTTTCACCATGTATGGTAAGCACTCCCTAGCTATTGGTCCATGAATAAACTGGCGGAACAGTGCATCCTCATGGATGCCGTTCCTGTTACTCACGTCAAAAAACAGGCTACCTGTCCTGCTATGTTGGTTTTGATCCAAGCTGTGCGCACAACGAGTCAATTGTTTAGTTATTCCTGTTTTCGGTTTCTTCACTTGATAAGGCGCGTTCCATACAGTTCAGCATTCTGAGAATGAGATTAACCATGTACTTGCAGTGTTCTCATCTTTATCAGCATATATAACAGGCTTCATGATCACTACCTTTCGGTACCGTTCAATCATGTTCCCAGCTGCATCCCTGTTGACGATTCTCCTCCTAGCCTTGTCCATCGTGGCGTCGCCTGTTGAAATCCACGACTCCCCCATCACCCTCTCCGTCGCCTGGAGGCTAAACACCTCTGGTGGTACCATAAACCTCTTACAGCACGACCAATCTCGCGCGACCGCTCTCAAAACTGTTGGCAGAGACACTCTCAGCCGTCGTACTGGCAGCACTATTGCGATGAACGATGCTGTATGCTACACCGCAGCACTTGGTATTGGCAGCCCCGCCACAATCTGTAGGTTCAGCAATGACAAAACATGCAGCTACTAATGTATTATTGCAGACAACTTGATTGTCGACACCGGTAGCTCGCTCACATGGGTTAGTGCCACCTCGTACGTGAAGACCAGAACCAGCGTTGACACTAGAAAGCCCATATCAGACCCAGACTACGGTTCTGGTATGACATACAATGATATCATAAGTTGAGAATAACTACAATTATCTCTAGGAACCGAGTACACCGACACCGTCACTCTCGGTAATCTCACCATCATCCAGCAGCCGATTGGTGTTATTTCTACTTCAACGGACTCTGTCGTCGGTGTCATTGGCATCGGGCCCCTAGACTTGACAGAGGGAGAATCATCCACCGCGACAATCCCAACTGTCACTGACAGCCTGTACAGCCAAGGCATCATTTCTCAGATAATCGTCAGCCTCTCTTTTGAGCCCACCACTTCGGAGTCAGACACCAACGGAGAGCTCAGCTTTGGTGGAACTGACGCTACCAAGTACACCGGTGCCGTTGCATACACGTAAGTTGCTGCAGCTTAGAGATCAATCTGGACTGAGCGTAATTTCTTATTTCAGTCCTGACCACCACCGAACCCGCATCCTACTACTGGGGTATCAATGAGAGTGTCACTTATGGAACCACGACCATCTTGGCCGAGACCACTGGTATCGTCGACACTGGCACAACCCTCATCCTCCTCGCCAGCAGTACGTTTCGACGGTGCAAACGACCCATTAGAGCCCGCACGGGTGCCCGATCGACGAATCCGCAACTTGAGACTTGGCTGCGCCCCAGCTTGTGCAGGTGGAGCAGAAACAGCTTCAGCAGTCCACCCCGCGTCATCCTTAGCCTCCCCGTCGTCCAACTGTCTCGCTAACCTAGTCGCGTTGCCTTCATCAGTAACAGAGGCCGATTCACTGGTGCGATATTTGATCTGAACGTTTCCTCGTAACTTGCCAGACGGAGAGCGCTGGGGCTTCCTGCAAAACAGACACCCCTGGAGGTCTGCGCACGTATATGATGGGGCCTGCTGGTAGTTTCTTCAAGTTTTGAGTGCTTCTTCATGGAGGCAAGGGAGGTTTAGGAGGGGGTTCACTACCACCAAGCAGCGAGAGATCAATCGTACCCGCGCTGCCTGAAGGAGAAAGACTCTCGGGGGATATGCTCTCTGTCTCAATGGTAGGCGATAGGGACCACTGGCCATCTTCAGGGAGAGCAAGATCGAAGCTAGCATCCAGGCTATGTGATGAATTGGTAGCGTACGTATCCGTGAGCTGTAGTGAAGGAGGGTCGGATACCAGCTTCGGGCTAGGAGGTACTCCGAAGAAACTATTCTCTGCATCTTCTCGCGTGACTGACGCTGCATCAGGGGACAGCCGTGTTGTATTGTGCAAGAAATCAATGAAGGAATTATTTGGTGCGGACCGAGTGTACTTAGCGCCTGGAGAATGTCTTTGGAGGGGAATCGCCGAGGTCGTTCAAATACTGATTCATCTCCGTGCTGAGTATGATGAGCTACAGGATGAATGAGAAAACACCGTATGTGGAGACTGAAATGCTTACAGGAAGCAGACCGGGTTGAGTTGGGGCGTTCCCGCACATGATGTAGCCAAGGCAGAAATAGAGAGGAAGAGGAACTTGTAAGAGCGTTGGTTCAAAGTCAATAAGTTCGTCAACACTATTCCTTGTCTCCGAGGAAGTACAGGGTCATTGGGGTATGCCATGGAATAACTGGATATCGTCGTGCTTGTAAAGGGAGCTGTGATGGCTGCGACCGTGACTACTGTATTGACTTGAGGCGCTAAGCATTGGGTCACGGGTGAGCGCCATGGAACTTCGGGAAATGCAAGGAAGTCGAACGAACGGATCGAAGATTTGTTGAAGTAGGGAAGTCGACTCATGGACCAATGCCTGAGGTCGAGAACATTCAACAGCGTTAAAACTGGGTCAATTCAGCTGTGTGGACGCAACTGATGGATAACTTGAATATAGTCAAACCACGATCATGATAGTACTTACTAGATATATTTGCTGTGGCAACTTGAACCAACGCGGCTCAGTCTCTGTGCGCCTCGGACCCAGTGACTATTCCCCTTACAGAGACGATGCCAGACGTGTGCTTGGGACGACTCGCATCTAATTGTTCTTTCGGTACCGTCTCGCATGCAGTAGTAGTGGCGTGGTATGAATCAAAGAAGCAGCTGACTGTTTTGGATTCGACACAGGAATTTCGTTGCATTACTCGAGTCACCCGGTAGTTGTTGAAGAAAGAAGGCAGCCTCGGGATCCTTGTGACGTGGTTGTGTGTTTAAAATAAGGCATAGGCTGTTCCTATCGGACGCGTTACTAATGGTGTTGTAGTCAGCATCAAGCGTCCTCGCTTCACCCGCTCCAACACCTTTTCATCGTGCGAAACGGACAAGAACTTTGCAATTGGCACAACCCATGTCATGTGCTGAGAACAATGTCTCACCTCCGGCGTGTTGTAAACCGTTGATCCTGACTGGATACAAATTGAGTCACCAAGTTCACCAGGATCGGACAACGTCAGTCACTCCGAGTCCAGTTTGGTTACTGACCACACATTCTCCGACAGTTGCAGTCCGTGTGGGATAGCAAGTCATCCTTACGAACCACCTGTTAAGATAACGTGTGTATTGGTGGCCTTAAATAACAGGTGCAAGAGCCATCTGAAGCTCATCCATCTTCTCACTCATACTTATTATCATTCTCAAAATCCTCCAAACAGACGATGTCTCTCCCCGAGAACACGACCGTGCTTATTGTTGGTGCAGGCCCCGCAGGTCTCACAACTACTCTTTCTCTCATCCACTACGGGTGCCATGACTTCGTTATCGTGGATGCCGTAGGCGAAGGACTGAATGCATCGAGGGCGATCACCATACACTGTGCAACCGTCGAGGTAAGCTACCTGTGCGTTCGTAAAGAGGCCCACTGATGTTCTTGTGATCTTAGGCTTTAGCCAGTATTGATGCAGCAGATGGCTTACTGTCTCGAGCCATCAAGGGAAAGAGCATCAGAATCACATCTCGTACTTTGCAGATCTTTGACGCCACATTTGACCCTCTAAAGAAACATTCCGTCCACCCTTACGCGCTCTATATCCCTCAAAATGTCACCGAGTTTGTACTTGGGTAGAAGTTGCAGAGCCTTGGTGTTCAGGTGCAGCGTCCGCACAGGGTAGTAGGAATGAAACAGAATGAGAAGGACTCTCGCATCACTGATGTGTCCTTTGAGGACGGTCAAGTTATCAGGGCTAGATATATTATCGGGGCAGATGGCGCCCGCTCAATCGTGAGACATCTACTTAGCTTAGTAGAATGTCTGACGATCATTTCCAGATCCGTACCGTCGCTGGTATCGGGTTCTCTGACCCAGAAGGCCCAGACCTAACCAATAACCTATTGGCTCAGATGGTCTCTGCAGATGTCACATTCGAGCCTGAACCTGTCGGTCCATTCACCCTGGAGGGCCACCTCAACGCCACAGTTTTTTCAGGCAATATCTTTTTTCTTGCACCGTTTGGCAACCACTTCAACACCGAACTGACACGAGATGGAAAGCCCACTACGAAATCCATCTTTCGTGTAGCTTGTGCCATACCTGCAAAGAACGGAGAGCCCCCCCATACTCCACCGAAAGAGTACATCCAGAACTTAATTGACTCATACGGGCCAGCGTGTATAACATCGGATCCGTCTCTTAACCCGAGACCTGTCAAAGTCGACCAGCTGGTCTGGTCGACACGTTTCAGAACCCATTCTGCCATCGCAGACCGTACCTTCACGCGTCTCGGAGCCGCCATTTTTCTAGTCGGCGACGCAGCCCATATACATTCACCTGCGGGCGGGCAAGGCATGAACCTGGCCATCAGGGACGCGATCTTCCTCGCAGAGGCTGTCACGAAACACATTCAAGCGTCTGCAGAGGATCCCGATGTGGATGATACCATTTTGCAGGAATTTGCGGAGGCGCGTCATGCACGAGCGCTAGAAATCATCGGCTTTACCAAGACGCTTTTGAAACTCGCAAGTCTTACGTATGATTCATATGCTTGGTGGATGCCGTTCAGTTGGGCGTCCATCCGCGATTTAGTGCTAAGAATATTGAGGGGATATGATTTCGTGCAGTCGAAGGTTGCATGGGGTCTGAGTGGGCTTGGGAGACGGTAATCGTAGATTATTGGATGGTTTGGTTAGCGTGTTTTGTATACCATATCTTATTTCTGTTTTCAAACATAGAATATATGTAAAAGTATCAAATATTCCAGAGTGGTGTACGTTACTGGCTGCAGTCATTGGACAGACTTGAATGTGCTCTTGATCAAGGGGAGGGAGGGAGGGAGGAAGGGAGGGAGAGGTGGCAGACTACAGGCTGATTCTCATGAAGACAGCGAGCGCAATTGATACTGGAGCACGCACTATAAATTATTCTTAGAAGATGAAGTAATATATGTGTAGACATGTACGGTACGATACGTGGCACCCCAATTACCCTCATGTGTGGGTTTCATCTTCGCAAGCCTAATTGTTAATTAACATTCTGCTCGATGAGCATGACGGCTTTTGCAGAGCGAGGCTTGATAGAACATTTAAAGGGCTTCGGATGGCCGGAATTGCGACTATCTACCAGTGCCGGACGTGATAAGATATGTAGCATACACGATTGTGCCGGATGAAAGACGACAAATCGTTTCCCGCAAATTTGCTGGTCTAGACAGTGTTTGTAACATTGCATCCTGGGTCTGGTTTGCGTACATCTGCATTGGTGGCAGAAAGTCTTGACAACTTCAGGCTCGCCATCGTCCCTTAGCGTGGTTTGAGCTGGAGGAAGAGGTGTATGGACCTTGAACAATTTCGTTTGAGTTGGAAATACAGTAGTAGAAGCCAAACTCGAAGCTTTCGACGGCGTAAACGACCCATCAGATCCAGAGCCTGCACTCAGACTTCATGATATGAGCGTCATGGGACAGAAACTTGCTTCTATTGATCGGATAAATCAAGTGGCTGCATAGTCCCCAATCTCTAAGAGCAGGAGACATACCAATCGATTGGTGGGAGCTGGACATTACGATGGAAGCCGGGCATCGCGTCATCCGACCCGGAGATCAGCTGGACAACAGGGAGGTTAAGGCCGGGGGGGTGGACTATTGAAGCCATTTCTGCTCCACCTGCACAACCTGGAACACGTCCAAACTCTGACTTACAGATTTGCCGATCAGGCACCTGTGCGGTGGGTTCGAGGTTACGAAATCTGGCTCGTCTGCAGTGATCCTAGCTTAGGGATTATTTAGTTGACCAGGGAATTTTATTTCAAGCAAGAGAACAGGAATGCGGCAAAATTGATGGCAAGACCGATGATAAAAGTCATGAAGAGAATTGCCCTCATAAAGGAGACTGGGATCTTTGAATGCTCTAGGAGTCCATACATTGGATGCGTCAAATACTGAGAATCTCGGACCAGCATCGTGTACACACCGTAGTAGTCTTTTCAAGAAGTTGTATCAGTCTAAACTGTCGAGCTCCATTTAGTCCAACATGATCGATCGAAAGATGCTATCAGCTGTTGGTCAATTGCGTGAAAAATAGTACCAATCAGAAAAGGCAAACAAAGTTGAGTTGGAGCAAGGATTACTTCTGATCTTGAACTTCTTCACAAAGTCCAAATCACATACTATGCAGGACCATTCGAAAGTGTTACGCAATGATAGGGCATATCCGAATGACCTGGACCACTACTATAGATATTAGGTACTGTCTGGACTCGGACTGGTCTAGATTCCACGTGCACCAAGTTGGGAGACTTTGTGTTGAATTCGTTGACTGGCCAGCTGGAGCATTGAGGGAATGCAGAATGCAAATATAATGGGAAGTCTATAGATGATGTATGTACTACTATGTAAGTCTGGCGCACTCGTTCAACCACTTATTACATAAGCTCTATATATAGCAACAGATGAGGATCTAGATTTCTCGACTGCAAATAGAGTCTCGAAGAGTTGGCCGTTGCAAATTGCTTGCCGATCGCAAAGTTCAAGAATCGTTGGCATTGGGAAACTTTGTCGGTTAAGACGGTACTACATAGTGTCAACGAACATTAAAAAAGGAGTGCGTAGTGCCCTGTTAGCATTCCGAAGTAGATCGGGGTGGGAAACACGAGTCCCTGAACGCATCAATTACATCAGTGGTGAAGACCTCAACCACCGCTCGGTAAGGCCCCCGCGGCAGGGCCGCGTCAATTGCACCTGGCCCGGCTTAAGCGTCCTCGCTTCACCCGCTCCATCGCCTTTTCATCGCGCGAAACGGACGAGAACTTTGCAATCGGCATGACCCATGTCATATGCCGAGACAACGTTTCACCTCCGGGCCAGCGCATGTGGACACAAATTGCCAGCGCATGCGTCGACGGTCGTGCACAATCCTGACTGGACACAAATTGAGTCACCAAGTCCACCAGGATCGGACTACTTCAGTCACTCTGAGTCTAGTTTGGTTATTGCCCACACATTCTTCAACAGTTGCAGTCCGTGTGGGACAGCAAGTCATCCTTACGAACTACCGGTTAAGATAACCTGTGTATGGTACTGGTGGCCTTAAATAACAGGTGCAAGAGCCATCTGAAGCTTATCCATCTTCTCACTCATACTTATTATCATTCTCAAAATCCTCCAAACAGACAATGTCTCTCCCCGAGAACACGACCGTGCTTATTGTTGGTGCAGGCCCCGCAGGTCTCACAGCTGCTCTTTCTCTCGTCCACTACGGGTGCCATGACTTCGTTATCGTGGATGCCGTAGGCGAAGGACTGAATGCATCGAGGGCGATCGCCATACACTGTGCAACCGTCGAGGTAAGCTACCTGTGCGTTCGTAAGAAGGCCCACTGATGTTCTTGTGATCTTAGGCTTTAGTCAGTATTAATGCAGCAGATGGGTTACTGTCTCGAGCCATCAAGGGAAAGGGCATCAGAATCACATCTCGTACTTTGCAGATCTTTGACGCCACATTTGACCCTCTAAAGAAACATTCCGTCCACCCTTACGCGCTCTGTATCCCTCAAAATGTCACCGAGTTTGTACTTGGGCAGAAGTTGCAGAGCCTTGGTGTTCAGGTGCAGCGTCCGCACAGGGCAGTAGGAATGAAACAGAATGAAAAGGACTCTCGCATCACTGATGTCTCCTTTGAGGACGGTCAAGTTATCAGGGCTAGATATATTATCGGGGCAGATGGCGCCCGCTCAATCGTGAGACCTCAATGCTCACCTACTCAGCTTAGTAGAATGTCTGACGACCATTTCCAGATCCGTACCGTCGCTGGTATAGGGTTCTCTGACCCAGAAGGCCCACACCTAACCAGTAACCTATTGGCTCAGATGGTCTCTGCAGATGTCACATTCGAGCCTGAACCCGTCGGTCCATTCACCCTGGAGACCCACCTCAACGCCACAGTTTTTTCAGGCAATATCTTTTTTCTTGCACCGTTTGGCAACCACTTCAACACTGAACTGACACGATATGGAAAGCCCACTACGAAATCCATCTTTCGTATAGGTTGTGCTATACCTGCAAAGAACGGAGAGCCCCCCCATGCTCCACCGAAAGAGTACATCCAGAACTTAATCGACTCATACGGGCCAGCATGTATATCATCGGATCCGTCTCTTAACCCGAAACCTGTCAAAGTCGACCAGCTGGTCTGGTCGACACGTTTCAGAACTCATTCCGCCATCGCAGACCGTACCTTCACGCGTCTCGGAGCCGCCATTTTTCTAGTCGGCGACGCAGCCCATATACATTCACCTGCGGGCGGGCAGGGCATGAACCTGGCCATCAGGGACGCGATCTTCCTCGCAGAGGCTGTCACGAAGCACATTCAAGCATCTGCAGAGGATCCCGATGTGGATGATACCATTTTGCAGGAATTTGCGGAGGCGCGTCATGCACGAGCGCTAGAAATCATCGGGTTTACCAAGACACTTATGAAACTCGCAAGTCTTACGTATGATCCATATGCTTGGTGGATGCCATTCAGTTGGGCGTCCATCCGCGATTTGATGCTAAGGATATTGGGCAGATATGATTTCGTGCAGTCGAAGGTTGCATGGGGCCTGAGTGGGCTTGGGAGACGGTAATCGCACATTTTGGATGGCTTGGTTACGATATGATACCATAATTCAGGACATTCGTATTTCTGTTTTCAAAGATAGGATAGATGTAAAAGTATCAAATATTCCAGAGTGGTGTACGTGACTGGTTGCAGTCTTTGGACGAACTTGAACATGCTCTTGTTAAAGGGGCGGGAGGGAGGTGCCAGACTACAGGTTGATTCTCATGAAGACAGCGAGCGCAATTGATACCAGAGCACGCACTATTCTTGCAAGATGAAGTGATATATGGACGATACGATAATGCAATGTGGCACTCCGATTACCTTCATGTGCGGGTTTCATCTTCCCAAGCTTACTTGTTAACATTCTGCTCGATGAGCATGACGGCTTTCGCAGAGCGAGGCTTGAAGGGCTTCGGATGGCCGGAATTGTGACTATCTAGACCAGCGCCGGACGTGATAAGATGTGGCATACATGATCGTGCCTGATGAGGAATCGACTTCAATATCATTCTCGACAAATTTGAAAATATCGAATACGGCCAGTGAAGGAATACGACAAACCATTTCGCAGATTTGCCGGTCTAGACGGTATTTGGAACATGGCATCTCGGGTGTAGTTTGCGTACATCTGCATTGGTGTCAAAAAGTCTTGACAACTTCAGGTTCGCCATCGTCCTGTAGCGTGGTTTGAGCTGGAGGAAGAGGTGTATGGACCTTGAACAGTTTCGTTTCTGGAAGTGGAGTTGCGGAGAAACCGAACTCGAAGCTTTCGACGGCGTAAACGACCCATCAGGGCCTGCACAGGTGCCTAATCGTCGAATCCGTAAGTTGAAACTTGGCCGCGTTTCAGGTTGTGCAGGTGGAGCAGAAACAGCTTCAGTGGTCCACCCCCCATCGTCCTTAACTTCCTTGTTGTCCAGCTGATCTCTGGGTCAGATGACACGATGCCCAGCTTCCATCGTGGTGTCCAGCTCCTACCAATCGATTGGTATGTCTCCTGCTCTTGAAAATTCGGGACTATGCAACGACTTGATTTGTTTATGCAATAGAAAGCAAGTTTCCGTCCCATGATGCTGATATCATGGAGTCTGCGTGCGGTGGTCATGGGTTGAACGTTGCAAAATCTGGCTTTCATGTTTTGTCCGCAGCGATCCTAGCTGAGGGATTATTGAGTTCACCAGGGAATTTGATTTCAACAAAGAGAACAGGAATGCAGCAAAATTGATGGCAAGAGTGATGATGAAAGTGATGAAGAGACTTGCCCTCGTAAAGGAGACTGGGATCTTTGAATGCTCTAGG